AAAAAAAAAAGAAAAAAAATTTCAACACACATTCAACCCTTCATGCCATCACTGGAGTAAGAGTTGTTGGGGGGGCATTAAAAATATTGTTTGCAACAGATGAGGACTGTAATGAAACAGGGTTAAAGCTGGCTGCTGCTGGCTTAGCTCTTCAAGCCTTTGTTTGAGGGGCTCCTTTGTAACTCTAGGGATGAGCTGGGGCACTCAAACCCTTTGTGATGGTGGACCCCCAGGTATGTGGGCTTCCTTGGGAGGCTGCTTCTTATTGCAGGGTGTTGGCACTTGGAAATATCCAGGGTGCATAGATAGTTACCATAGCCTGTCTTTCTTAATGTCAAAGGAGCAACGCTGGCATAGCTACTGATGCCATCCATTTTATTCAGTTCACATACTCTGAGTCAACAGCATCCCAGAGAGAAAAACAAGTGTGCATAGATTGGGTCTATCTGCCTCATATGGGTGGGGCTTGATGGAGAACATGGAGCAGAAGGAAGCACAAATAGTTACCTGTGCCCTGAAAACTAGTTCCTCTTGAGGACTCCGTCTATGAGAGAGCACTCTGTTCAGAAGCGGGGTCTGAAGACTATTGCATGCCTGAGAGCAGCGCTCTGGTCAAAGCTGGGTCTGCCCCTTGCCTGCATTATTTCTCAAGCAGCTACTGCTTCTGACTGATAGCAGTTTCAAGCTGGGCACAGAGATCGTTTTGTTTTCTAACCTGACCTATGGAGATTATCCATGTCCTTAAAATTCATCTTGTAGATATCAGAGAAGGCTAACATTTCGGCAACCCCAAGGGGAGGCCAAGGGACGAGGAACAATTGTGAGCAGAATGCTGGCCGATGATGCTTGATGCCAGTGAGCTAGAAAGGCCCGAGCCCTGAGAGCTTGCTGTCAGACTCAGGGAGATGAAGCAGATGGGAGGGGAAGGAAGAGCATCCAGCTGGCCTGAGAGAGAGGATCTACTGAGAGACTCCTTGTAGTGGTTGATACATTGTGTCAACTTGAGATGTCCAAAGGCTTGGTTGGATCTGGTGGGCTGGCCCTAGAGTGGCTCAGCACAAAAAGAGTACGTAAAGGAGTTGAGGAAGGCTTTCACGCGCCACTTCCTTGGAGGAGCTTGATCATGCAGCCGCTCCACTTTGCAGGAGCTTGGATCGTTGCTGCAGCAGCTGCCGCCACTTTCTTGGGACAGCTTTGGTCTTCACAGTTGGCATGGAAGGAAGAGAAAGAGGCTTGATAGATGCTGCAGCTGCTGCTCCTTCTCTGCTCTTCACTGTTTTCTGCTGCCATGAACTGCCGCTGTCTGCCTTGGAGCCAGTGGAGTATGGACTGAAACCTCCACTAACTGTGAGCTGAATAAACCTTTCCTTCCTTCATTTGGAGTGTTGGGTATTTGTCCCAGCAACAAGTGAAAAGTAACTGAGACACTCCTTAAGAAAGACTTGTGCAAAGATCTGGCTTATCCAAAAGTGATGGCTTGTCCAGATCATTAGGTGACCAAGTGGGATAGTGTATGATTAAGAGTTTAGGATTTTTTTTTTGGGGGGGGGCACCACAGGGAGATAGCTCAGTGGAATAAATGCTTGCCTGGCAAGTGTAAGGTCCTGAGTTTGATCCTGGTACCACAAAAAAAAAAAAAAAAAAAAAAAAAAGAGCTTAGGACTTGGGCCATGGATCCTAGAAGATCTCCCTGCCTCTCCTCTCAAAATTTTATGATTCATAGCTCAATATTTAATTGATCAACAGAAAGCTTATAAACTGTCTGATCCATCTAGTCTGGGCTGTATCCAGGAACCTCTATAAGAGTCAGGGCCAGTGGCTTTCCAGTGGTTCCCTGGATGCCTCTCCTTCCCCCTGGAACACACTCAGAAGTCTTTCTCAAGGCCAGTGGGGATTGAGGACACAAAGGAAACTGCTGCCTTGCTGTGCCCATCTCCCTCCACCCTCCAGACATCCTTGGTTTTCCTTAAGGCAAAGGGTTCTGCTGTAGATCTGTTCCCCAGATGTCCACAGGCAGAGCTATACCCTCTCACTAATTTGGGCCTTTGTGTACCTTTGATTAATCTGCTTAGATTGCCATATAGGATACCCAAGACTAGTTGTCTTAAACAACAGACATTTTGTTCTTACTGCTCTGAACATGGAAGTTCAAGATTAGCTATTCAAAGGGCTAGCGAGACAGCTCAGCGGGCCAAGCACCTGCTTAGGTAAGTGCAGGGACTGGGTTTGATCCTGGCACCACATGCCATGCCGGCCATGCCCCAGAGCACACTGTGCCTACTATGGAGTTCCTGCATGGTGGCACATGCCTGTAATCCCAGAGCTGTGGAGGCTGAAAACAGGACCACCATTATAAGTCTGACCTATGTAGTAAGACCCTGTATCAAATACATAAAAAAATTTTAAAAAAGATTAGCTATTCTGAAGCTCCTAAAGGAGGGATCCATTCCAGGTCACTCCCTTTGAATTGCAGACATCAGTCTCTCTCTCTCTCTCTCTCTCTCTCTCTCTCTCTCTCTCTCTCTCTTTCTCTCTCTCTCTCTTTCTCTCTCTCTCTCCCCTTAAAAAATAGATAAAAATAAAGACCCTATTTCTATGACAGCCACACTCTGGGCTTAGGAATTCAACATAGAATTTTGGTGGTAAGTACACTTATTAACTGATTAATACTTATTAACTGATCAACATTTATTCATTTATTATTTATTTTTGGTGCTGAGAATTGAACTAGAACCCTGTGCTTGCTAGTATTTATTATCCCCCTTCCCTCCCCTTATGCAGATTTCCTTTGTTTAATATCAACCTCTGGGCCAAAGTCCTTATTATGTTAAGTGACATAGCTCCAGTGTTTTAGCTCACTGCATGCAGAGTAGAAGGCTCCAAATGAATATTCATGACTTGGGTAAATGCATATTGTAAAATCATTACCAATTGCTTGCAAAAAGGTAATCACAGAGAAAGTTATTCCAGGTATATTGTTAAGCAAAGTAAACAAATTACAAAAGCTGTTCAGGTAACATAGCTTTATTCTGAAATCACATACATATAATTTATTTTTATAAAAACAACACTTAGAGAAATATGCAACAAAATACCAATAGCAGGTGTGCCTAGAGGGATTTTGATTTACTTTCCTCTTATCATGTATTTCTTTACAGTGAATGTTACTTCTGTAAAAGGAAAAAGAATATAATTTATTAAAAGTTAGATATTTTGTCATCACTTTTAACTGGCTATTCAGAAGCCAAACAAAACAAGACATTATTTTCCTTTTTCAGTGGGAATGCTGGCAGTCTCGGAGTGTGATGGTCTATGGACATGCCCAGCCTGGAGTCAAGTCCTCACTTGCCTCTTGTAGGTTGGCATTTGTAGTGAGTCCTCATTTTTCAGCTATGAGGTCAGGTCATAATCGCACCCTCAGACTCGAGGCTGCTTCCAGTCTCTGGCCCAGACTAAATTTGATTCTTTTGATCTCAATGATCTGGAAAGAATGGGACACCGAGAATCAGAGACAGTCCAGGAGTTTGGTTGTTTCTTTATTGCCTTTCCCCCCGGAGCAGGGCAAGCAATAGATACTTTTGCACTGCCTCTGGGCATAGCGCTTGGACGTGGGATGGCAGAGTTTAGGCACCAAACTGAAGGGGGGGGGCACTGCAAAAATTTAGCAATCCAGGAAATAAGAATGCAATATTTTTAAAAAAGAAATTTTGTAAAAATCTATAATGAACAAGATCAACAATTTCAATAAGGACAGGAAAATACTACTGCCTTTTACTTTGTCACAGACTCCATTCTAACCCAGAAAAGCACTGGGGTTTTTTTTTAGCCCGTGACCTGAAGGTAGGAGACTATCAATTACCGTAATCATGACTACTTCTTAACTATAATTAATTATGTAAATGATCTTCCCCTCAGAACCAACAGTGTTCACTCCGTGATTATTTAGCCTTCAGTGTAGGGCCCCTTAGGGTACTAATGAGGGACTATGGTTTTCCAACCTTGTTTATTCCTTTATCCCCATATACAATACCTAATAGCAGAGCTCTTTTACATCACTGAGGACTCTTGAGGGGCAGGATTCATCCTATTCTTTTATAGAAACAGAAAATGCCAGCAAAGCACGATTTCTATCCAAAATCACACCAAGCAGGTTTTGCAGATGTTGCAGACCACCTCCCCCATACTTCAGGAGCACGCATGACCTTGGCATGCTTGCTTGGCAAACAGGCACCAGCCAGCACCCCACTATATCCCAGGAGAAGGAGCGATCTTTCTATGGTGAGAACCCCAGTTGAGAGTCGCCCTGAGGGACTTTCACACCATCCCATCACGGGAATTTTTAATATCCCATTTCTAAAAGCAATATCAAAAGTTACATTTAAAATCTTGTTTTTCCCTTCCAGCAATGCTGACCTCCCCATGAGAACATGCCTTTCGCAAAAGATCTCCTTCATCCCTCTCCAGAGGAGGAGAAGAGGAAACACAAGCAGCACCACCTGGTACAGAGCCCCAATTCCTACTTCATGGACGTGAAGTGCCCAGGATGCTATAAAATCACCACAGTCTTTAGTCAAGCACAGATGGTAGTTCTGTGTGCTAGCTGCTCCACTGTCCTGTGCCAGCCTACAGGAGGGAAAGCAAGGCTCATAGAAGGATGTTCCTTCAGGAGGAAGCAGCACTAACAGTATTCTCAATCTGGGGTTGGGGAGATGGCTCAGTGGAATAAGCACTTCCCTGGCAAGTGCAAGGGCCTGAATTCAAACCCTGGTTCTGCCCAAAAAAAAAAAAAAAAAAAAAAAAAAAAAAGATGAGTGGGAGGCCATCCCAATAAACACAGTTTGGATATAAATAGATAAAATAAAATTTTGTATTATGTAATTGTTTTATTTTACGCAAAACTTGTCTTTTGCTGAAACCATAAATTCTAAGGTGCTTTGTAAAGGCAATCACTAAAAAAGTGATATTTTTAGTGTATACATTTTAGAAAATTTTCCCTATGTTTTGTGTGATTTAATGTGTGGAATGTCACAGAATTGCTTATGTGGAAATGTTTCTGAAAGCACCTGGAGGGCCAGAAAGATGGCTCAGAATGAGCGCTTCCCTGGCAAGCGCAAGGGCTTGAGTTCAATCCCCGGTTCTGCCAAAAAAAAAGAAAAGAAAAGAAAAGAAAAGAAAAGAAAAGAAAAGAAGAAAAGAAAAGAAAAGAGAAAAGAAAAGAAAAGAAAAGAAAAGAAAAGAAAAGAAAAGAAAAGAAAAGAAAAAAGAAAACACCTGTAGAAATCAATGTTCTATGTAGCAACTGAAAAACCTAAAGGCTAATGGTGGAAGCGCTTACTTAGACAACAAACAGTAGCTCAGATTTAGATTTCCTTAGGGTAATTTTAGCATAATCCAGTTATATAGCAGTGATTCAGATGAACTTCATAGTGGTGAAGAAATCACTTTTTTTTCTTTGAGGGACTGTAGCTCACCGCAACTCCCCTTCCTCCCCGACAGTTTTTGGATGAATGTGTTTACCAGAAACGTGGGCCATACTGGGACTGCATAGCTGTGTTCTGTAGGAAGTCTGGCTAGTTGAAGGTCACTGTGATGTGAGAGATGATGTCCCACCACTCCCAGATGTCGTGGACTTCACAAACCAGGGATCTGATTTGCAGTGAAGAAACCATCAGGGATATTCCAGCCTCATATGACATGGGCGGGAACTGAGGAAGCTCGGAACAGCAGAACTGGCCCTCCAGACATGGGACCATCAGGAAGCCATCCCATCATCAGGGCACAGGCACAGTCTCCACCGTGCCCTGCCTAATTTCCTAATCCCAGGTCCTGAATGCAGGGCCTATACTTAAGGTTGGAGTTGTCTGTTTGTTTGTTTGTTAAAGCATTGTTCTGCCATGAAGACATGTCTGGGGGAGGGGGGGTCAGAAAAGAAAACACTGACCCTGCAACGTGATGCAATGTTGTAAGGGTTTACAGAAGCAGCTGATTACACCCAAGCCGTGGAGAATCTCATAGCCTTGGGAGAAGCACTACAGAAGAGGAAATGCTCTACCCAAACCTTAGAAGATTAGTAGAGCTGAAGCAACTACAAAGTTTCCAGTTCTGAATCTTAGAGCTAACTCTCTGCCCGGAAATAATTCAGTGCTGGTTTGGACACTTGCGCTTTTATCATTACTATGGTCTCCGACTCTTTCTTGGCCCCTCCTGGGCAGAACCCTGGTTGGAGGAAGTGCTCAATGGAGGTGCAGCATTACTTCTTAGGGCCTCAGGGAAGGGCACCCTCCAGAAGCCAGGCCCACTCAGCAGGAATCCAGGCTCTTGCTGCAATCAGGAGCTAAGTTGTTGGGTGTTGTGCTTTTAATTTACTATGTTTCCTATGCCTATTTCTCTTAAGATGAGTCTCATGGCCTCTGCCTTCATCTGATTGCTTTCCTAATCCCTTCAGATAGAGACATTCTAGAGGTACTTCAGAGGCAACTCCATGCAGTGATGAAAAATATTATTTTGCTAGTAAAGCAATACAGCCATTATGAGGAACATATCATAGCCTGAAATCTATGAACTTTGTTTCTAGGATACAAACCTGGATAAAAAGATTTATTTAAACATTTCCCTGCTGTCAAGTTAAAGGAAACTCCTCCTCCTCACCCTTTCCTTTTCCTCCTTTTCACCTCCTCCTCCTCCTCTTCTAGCACTGTCTTTCTAATGTCAGCCTGATTTGAAAAGGCTGCTGTCAAAAAGACCAAAGCAACATATTACACCCTTGCCAAAAAATGGCTCTAAAGTAAGAGCGGATTGTGCAGTGAGCTGGCTTCCTGGGCAAGTGGAAGGGACAGCTCTCTTAGGAAGCTTGTTGGTAGAGACAATGTGCTGGTGGCCTCCATCCGGCTGGGAGAAGAGCTGGGACCTGATTTTGAAAACCAGGCACCTGAACTGCCCTTTCTTTCCTCACTTGCAGGTGATCTGCAGAAGTAGAAGTAGTCTGAGAAAGACTAGATTTTCTTTTCTTTTGTTTTGGTGGAACTGGGGATTGAACTCAGGCCCCTGCGCTTGCCAGGCAAGCGCTTATTCCATTCAGCCATCTCCCAGGCCCTAAGACTAGATTTTCTACAGCACCTGACAGATGGAATCAGGTGCAAACCACCCTTATGGGATGGCAAACAGTAAAGTGCCCAAGAAAGCACTGGGAAGGAAGCTCTCAGTCTCACTTAAAACTGGAGCCACTCCCCAGAGTTTATCTCATAAAATCCCCTGATGTTTGAAACATGGTTCTATTCCCAAATAGCCTCTCATTCCAGGAGACATTTAGGACTGGACATTATCTGCTCTGGGATGTGGCACACTGACATGCTTTTAATTATTTTCTCAAAGCATCACTTCAAATAAATTAGCATTCTCATCTCAAATGACTCACTTGGCAAAAACCAACCCCACGTACTGTGAGGAGAACAGCTGAGGAATGGGAAAAGGCAGGTGGAGGCGGCACTGGACAGTTTTTTAAGAAGTGGATACCAGCACCACTAAAGTCCCAGTGTTACTGAAAAACAGCCTACAATGCTCTGAAATTGTGACTGAAACAAGCTATTCATATCAGTTATGGTAAGCACTCAAACTTTTATTTGCAGCCTACTTTGAGAATATGACCACAGACACTGTTCAGAAAAATACACACACACACACACACACACACACACACATATATATATATACATGATTTTCACAAAATCTCATTCTGTAAGAGTTAGTTATGGCCCTAAAGATGGAAACCAAAGTCAGAAAAATAATATATAAACTTAATCACCAGACTGTCATCTTTTTGCCTATAACTTAGATTCATACTATAGTTTGTCTCTCTTTATTTTTTTCTATCCTCTTAGCTTGAGATCATTATAACATTTCTTTTTTTTTCTTTGTATTTAGTACAGGGTCTACAGGGTCTCACTACACAGATCAGACTCATAGTGATTCTGTTTTCAGCCTCCCAAGCACTGAGATTATAGGCACGTGCCACCATGCCCAGTCTATAAAATTTCTTATATAGCTTTTTCATGTATACTTTCTGATGGCTTTGAAATTTCATCATGCTCACTTTTGCTTTAAACTGAAATTTCTCTAGCCTTTGCTTACAGATGACGGGATAGAGAGCTAGTTGCCTTCCAATATCTAGTTGTTCCTTCTGTATTTATCATCTAAAATTTATGTTCCTAAGCCTCCCTTGCAGCTAGATATGGCCATCTCTCTAAGCTGTTAACCAACGCTATGTGAATGTGCTAAATAATTTCCCTTCCCCCATTTTGAAGGTTAGAATGAAGACACAGTAGCTGGGAGAGTGGAAGCCATGGGCAACACCACCTTTTGAGTCATCTGGTAGAAGATAAGGTTCATGAGAGCAGGAACTTTATCGCAATCAAAAGGATAACCCTGTACTTAAACAGTGTGTGACACACACTAAGGACCTCAGCACAAACATTACAGAGTGAACAGATGAATAACTGGGTTTAAGCAGGTCCATATAGACAAAAACTCAGCTTCTTCCACAGAACCCAACTCTTGCATAATTCAAATCATAGTATTTGTTTACTCCCCTTTGTTCTCCCAAAATTATTGCCCTTACAGAAGGATGGGATTTTTTTTCCTACTTCATGCTTTCCAAAGACAACAAACGCTCTCCCTGAAAATAAAAGGTCTTCAAAGCAATGCTTTTGGTATCTTTCTGCTTAGCAAGTTTTAAATTGTTAAGCTTTCAAGGTCATCTATATCTATTTTTGTGTATGTCTGTTAAATGCAGGCATTATTCTGGAACTTGATCTTAGATGTCTCCTCAAAGAATCATCCCAAATGGTATCTAATGACATTTATAGCACTTCAGATGACATTATTACTGTTATCATGGGGCGCAGTCACGAGATCCTGAGGACTGAACTAGATGTTGGTTTCTGAATCTGAACTTCTCGAACATGGACTCATTCACTATGCTTTGCCACACTTTAAAAATTATGTGTTTTGTGTTCCTAGATATTGGTCAAATCTTTTAAATAGAATTAAAAATCACCCCTGCTTTCCTGCTTTTTGAATTGATTTTTTTCTTCTGGGTCAGAGAACAATACTCTTTCTTGCCATTTTTGTGAACTCTTAGGTATTTATACATGTTCACATTTTTTGGAACTATATCATTTTCTCCCTAATTTCTTTTACTCTTCCCCAAAATTTATTTGCCATTTCTTTTAAATATTTAGGGAAAATAAGGAATCCCATCTTCTACTTTTATGGTATATCTGTCTGTACTTGAGCTTCTTGTGATATGCTCAAATTTCTCTTTAACTTATCCATTTTGAGGGATACACACAGTCAAACCTCTGGATGCATGGGTTCTGCATCTATGGGTTAAACGTATTGTGGATTGAAAATATTTGGAAAATATTGCCTTTTTATGGAACACATGCAGACTTTTCTGCTTGTCATTTTTCTATAAACCATACAGAATAATACTTATTTACATGGCATTTATGTTGTATTATGTATATATTATGTATTTTTTCTTTTCTCTCTTTTTTAATCTTTTTATTTTTCAGCCAGCATGAGGTTTTATTTACTTTTCAGTCTTTATCCAGTTAATTATCATAAATACAGATTAACAGCCAAACAGATAACAGATAACAGAAAAAGCACATAAAAGACATGAAGCAACTATATTAATCAAGGCACCCTTTGCCTATGTTGGATTACAATAACTTTTTTCTTTCCTGTTGTCTTTTATTTTATACTTCACATATTCTCTCCCTCTCTCTTTTTTGGCTTTTTGAAACAAGGTCTCATAATGCAATTTAGGTTGGCCTCCAACTCATTTTGTAGCCCAGGCTGGTCTTGAACTTGCAACAATCTTTCTGCCTCAGCCTCCTAAATGCTGGCATTACAGGCATGCACCACCATGTCTAGTTTATTTTCTTTTACATATAAGAGAAACTATGCAATATTTAAGCACGTGTTTAATTTACTTTAATTAGTATTATAGTCTCAAGATGTACCAATGATTCAACTTTATCCTTCTTTATGGCAGAGTCATTTTCTATTTTCTTTGTCTGCTCATATGTTGATGGACATATAGGCTACTTCCAAGATTTAGTTATTTATGAATTGTGCTGCTATAGACGTGGATGTGCACTTACTTTTGTAACATATGATATTTTCAATTCTTTGAAGAACATACCTAGAAGGGGAATAGCTGGATCAAATAGAATTTCTAGTTTTAGTTTTTTGAGGCATCACCACGCTGTTTCTATAATGGTTGTACTAGTTTACATTCCCAGCAACAATGGAGACGTGTTTCTTTTCCTCTGCAGCCTCTCCAGAATTTGTAATTTGATTTCTTCAAGATAACCATCTGGCATGAGATGGAATCTCAGTGTTGTTTTAAATTGTACTTTTCAAATGGCCAGTGATGTTGAACGTTCTTACAACATTGCATTTTTACATCATATTATGGATGATTTAAGGAATACAGGAGCATAAATATACAGATAATATACAAATATGCTATTTTATATAATGTATTTGAGCATCCTTGGACTTTGGTATAGAGGATCCTATCTCTCAGATAGGGAGGGTAAACTATATTTGGTTTCTGTTGAGCCTATCAGGCTTCCATGAAGTACAGATTTCTGTTTATTTATTTATTTATTTATTTATTTTTTGGTGGAGCTGGGGATTGAACTCAGGCCCTTGCACTTGCCAGGGAAGTGCTTATTCTACTCAGCCATCTCCCCAGTCCCGATTTCTGTACATTTAATTTCATCTTGTTTTTGCAGTCCTGAGGCTTGAACCTACAGCCTTGTATAAGGTAGCCAAAGTTTCTACCACAAGCTATATCTGTAGCCCTTTATATTTAGAGACAGAGTCAGTCTGACTATGCTATCTCTGCCAAGGCTGGCCTTGATCTCATGATCCTCTTGCTTCAGCTTCCTGAGTAGCTGTGATTACAAGCTCCTCCACCATAAATGTCTCTGTGAGGGGATTACAGGCACACGCCACCAGGGCCAGTCTCAATCACTGTCTCAGTGTGCCCCAGGGGTGAGGACAGCCAGCAAGCTGGGGATTGAACCCCCAGGCCGGCGGCTGCACTCTGCCAAAGCAGGTGCTTTAGTCCGCTGAGATATCAGGCTCGCCCTCAAGGCTGACTTTTGCCCTGGCTTTTGTATCTAAGGTGGATCTTTCCCACTTTTGCCTTCTTAGAGATTTTGCTTCATACATTTTTCCTTTTCCTCTGAATTAAAAATATTCTCTCCATTGACTCTTACTCTTTAGCACAGTATCATACTTTCTTCCCATCTTAAAAAGAGAAAACTTTGATTACATCTCCCTTTAAATCAAACCACGTCTCCCTTCCCAATCAAAGGTTTAGGCGGAGACACCCACAGTTCCTGCTTGGCTTACTCTGCAGCTATTCATGTCCTTTCCCACTGGCTGCTGGCCCATTTCTCACACACATTCCCAAGCCCGGAGCTGCCATAGCCAATGGTGTGGGGTAGCTTTCCAGCCTTCCCGGCAGCATGCGACTGTTCATTAGGGTAATAAATATTGAGTGCCTACCGATCGGGCACTGTGCCAGGTACTGCTGCTGCAGCTGCAGAAATGTGAAGAAGACACGGTTCCTGTTCTCATGAGACTCACCTGATCAGCCACACCTGATCAACTCATGTCACTTGATGCCCACTGCTCACCTCTAGGCTTTGCTTCATGACAACACTTCAATCTTCCTCTTCTCCAAGTCTCCTTGCTTCCCTCCCCTATTTCCTTTTATCTTAACAACTTTGACACCCATGATTTCAATTACTTTCTATATTCTCTGATAAAAAATACACTAACTGTTGATTTCACTTAAAAGTTTTATAAAACTTTAATTTAAATAAAAGATACTCCATTTCCTAAAACTATAGATTCCAGGTTGCTCCATGAAAGTAGTCACTAAGAAAAGTAGGACTGTTAGCATGCAAGTTTTAGGAAATTCCTCCCAACTCCTCTGTTTTGGTTTGAGTTAGTTTATGTGTTATTTTTGAAAGCATAAACTGGAATGTCACAAATTGGACTTAGCTTGCAGAGATTTATATCCAACTTTCACTTAGCTCCACATTGATGTGCTACAGGAAAGAAAAAAAAAAAAAAAACCTGTCTGCTACCCCTATATCTCTTCCCACATTTTTTAGTCTAAAAGATGGCACTGTTATGTACCTGGTCCTCTAAATCAGAGCCTCAGCAATCCTTTTGCCTATTTTTCCTCCTACTTCACAGGCAGTCACCAAGTACTTCCTATTTTATCTCTCACATGACCACAAATCTCTTGCTCTTCTGTCACTGCCTCTGCCTTTGGTTGGACCCCTTCTCCTCCATGAGCATGATCTCTTCATTACTCCTGTTGTGTCTTTTAATCCTTCCTTATTGTCAGGGTAAGCTCATCACAAACTTTTCTGATAGTGACATCTTAATTTCACGTCACTGAATGACTTACATTTCTAGGTCAAAATTCAAACCCTGTTTAGGCATCTGCTTCAGAGTCAGTTCTGGGCTTGCATACCAGCAGTGTGACCTCAGAGAATGGACTCCCCAAGCTTTTGTTTCTGATCTGCCTGACTCACTGAAGGGTTGGGCAGTGCTCAGTTCCGACATAGAATTTAATGTTGAGTGAAAGGAAGATATTCATGAAAAACTGCTCTTGCTTAAAATAAGCCCTAATATTCACTGTCAGTTCCCCAGTTTAACTTCTACCTCTACTTTCACATAATCAAGACAAGGTGCTTATGGGGAACTAGACTACCTAAGACCCACATTACACCACCCTCACCTAGAGCAGTCATGTGACCTTTGGGGAAGTTACCTGTCCCCTGTACTTCAAGTTTCTTCTCCAAAATTTAAGATGGGATTGCTTTTGAGGGTTATATGACTGTCTCTGTGAGAAAAGCACCATGACCATAATGCTAAATTATGTCCCTTATCATCTTTATGGAATTAGGACCTTACTACTCCACTTGATGCTTCTCAACTTTGTAGGAAAAAAATTATGCTTTATGCAGTGTTAGTAACGGGAGGAAAACCTGGAAACTCCTGCCTGCGGTTAGTGAGAAACAGGCGAGAGAAAAATGAGCTGCGAAGGAATCGTTTGGTCCTCATGCTACAGGCGAGGAAATAGAGGAGCGAAGTGTCCGATGGATCCTCGGGTCCCATTCAAGACACACAGTCACAACTCTACCAAGCGCAGCACTAGAGCCCCGGGGCTTGGTACCGTCAAGTTGCAGGCGGAAGGGAACCAAGGCTTGGAGAGGAGCCGTTCGTTGCAAAACCGGCCACCAGTCCGGAGGTAACTAACTTCAGCGGCAAATGAGAGTCGTCAGACTCAGAGGAACCAGCGCTGTAGTAACTGAGGCTTTTCTGTAAAGTCTGTCCACCTAGACTGGCTTCAGCCGTCGAGCGCCCCAGCAGCCCCGGATGAATGGAACTAGAGTCTCGACCCGTGCGAGGGGTGGGGCAGCCGGGGGCGGAGCGGGGCTCTGTGACGTAAGGGCGCGGGCGGGCGCGTGGAGGGAGGCCTGCTTAAGATTGGCTGACGCTACCCACGTGATAGCAGGTCGCGATCCGGTTGGCGGTTGCTGGCGTAAGGGCTTTCGTTTGGGAGGTGTCGGCGGAAAAAGGAGGAGTTCTGACTGCGCTCTCTGCCGGCAGTGGCTGTGCTTCCAGCGCTAGCCGGGTCCCCACCCCTTTTAAATAAGCCGGGCTGGTCGCCGCCCTCGCAGTCAAGTCAGCTCTGGGGAGGCGGCGGTGGCGTGGAGGTGGCGGCGCGGCCGAGGCCGGAGCCCTGCCCGGGGCCGGGCAGCGGGGCGGGCGGGCGGCG